AACTCCTGGGCTCAAGTGAGTCTCCTGCCTCAGCCTTCCAAGTAGCTGGGACCACAGGCACCTGCCACAACGCCCAGCTATTTTTTGGTTGCAGCCGTCATTGATGTTTGGCAGGCCAGGGCTGGATTCCAACCCACCACCTTAGGTGTATGTGGCTGGCACCTTAGCCACTTGAGCCACAGGCACCGAGCCAGGCAATGGTGAATTAAGGGGATCACACTTCCTTCAGATGAGCTTGAATCAGTGCCCTGCCATGGTGGAAAGTACTATCAGATGAGGCTGGCCTTACTTTCAGTTGAGAAATATTGGTGAGGTTCTGACTGCTTGTCACCAGAACACCTCCAGCTCTTTGGCAAAGGTAGAAAATATTAACTCTGGTGTCCTGGACTACTTCCATCTTAGAGAATATAGGGCTGGGTGTGGTTAAATCCAGCTCTAAGAGCTCAAACTCCTGGGTTACAACCTGCTACTTTAGGAACTGCTTTTTTCCTTTTCCTCCTCCCTTTTTTTAATTTAAAGTAGTCTTAGGTAAGTCACAATATCTATCTGCCTTCATTTATATATCTGTGAAATAGATTTATACAAGCTGTTTAGTTTATTGTGTAACACTGTGAGAATTTTTAAAAAGCCACTTAAATATTTAGAATTAATAGTAACTACAAGTGGATAACATATCCTTCACTTTTAACCCTGATATAGTTTTGTTCTGTAACTGTTCAAATATGCTTCATTTCTCTCTCTTTATTTCAGAGATGGATGAAATGTTTCTTCTGTGTTCTGAATATAGGGTATGATCTCAGAGTTCTTTGTGCCTGCAGAATCAGTCTGGAACTCAGCCAGAAGTTCTTCGTGATTAAAGGTGCCATCTGAGCACACAATATTTTTTTTAAAGGCTTGCAAAATGGAAACATACTTTTTTTTTTTTTAAGGTCACTAGCTTTAATTCCAGGGCTGACTTTCGCCTTTAAGAAGGGTTTCTACTATCCTCAATCTCTTCTTTTTCCTCATCATCTTCCCTTAACCACTTGTCTTGTGATAAGCCCCATCTATGCAACTAAATAAACACACTGAATAAATGGAACTCCAAAAAACACTACAAATTATCAGTTGCAGATTTCAGGGCCTCCTGGGCCACATGACTTATGAGTAGGAGATATATCAAGTTTTGATGGAAAAGTTTGCCATTACAATGAAAAAAGACCAGTGTTAGTGGATCTCCTGGAAAGACAATTCACCTGAGAATTGACAGTCAACTCTTGAGAGAGCAGTGGCTAAAATCATGATTTTCCGCTTTTTCCAAATGGTGTTCCTTCTATTTGACATTTGCGATGTTTTGCCT